GGTCTAATCACTTCTTTAATAGCACAGATCAAAGGGCATTACTGCCTGGTGAGGGCTGTTTCATGGGATAATAGAGCCTGACGTCTTAGTTTTTACATTTAGATCAACTTTTCTTTTGCTTTATTTTATCCCGCCAGTTGCTTTCTAATAAGATTTCATGCAGTGGTCGGCAGAGCATGGAATTTATGTCTCTCGGGATAGTCTCAAATTTAGGAATTCTATGCCTTGAAGACTGTAGAATTTGGTAGGAAATGAAAGGTGGTGTATTTAACCATGTATGGCAGAAGAAAGGAATAATTCATGGCATATGGATCGCTGTCTGTTTAAGTGTGGCGGCTGGCTTTTTTACATCTCTCAGCAGGATTTACTCTAAAATGTACTTTGCAATACATTCATACAATGTATGAAAGAGAAACTAGGAAGGTGTGAGAAATACATTAAAAAAGCAATGTCTTTTTTTAGAACTTGCAGAATCTACAGATTTGTCCAGTAAATGAAATCAAGAAGGGAAGCAGGATACTATAGCACCAAAACTTTCCATTTTGCAGTAGGCTTGCCTATAAACTTTTGGATCTAGTGTTGCACTCCTAAATTTCTTGATCAATCGTGAGGATTTGTACATTTAGACCCCACTGTTTTCCCCCAGTGAATCACAAGGTGACATACTGTATATGTCTTTCCCTCTCATTTGATTCTCACAACCACCCTGTTAAATAGGTGAAGTGGAGATAGTGTGTCTTGCCAAAAGCCATGTAATGAATTTCATGGATAACTAGAGAGTTCATCACCAGTCTCTGAAATCTTAGTCCAGTTCTCGAATCCTGTGGTTCCCAAGCTTTGGTAACCCAGGTGTTCTTTGATTGCAAATCCCAGAACCCCTTTTTCACCACTAACTGTTTCAGCTGGGGTTTCTGGGAGTTGCTGTCCAAGAGCACCTGGGAGACGCAAGGCTGGGAACCATTTGTCCAAATACATCATCTCAACTAAATGCCCTTACGATAGACTAAGTCTTACTACACCTGGAGGAGTTCATGTCCACATAATGGGAGTAAGTCCCATTGACCATAGCAGGACTTAGTTGCATGTAAATCTGCATGAGATTCTTTTGTAACTGCATGATCCTGTGCATGTTCCCTCAGAGAGACATCCCCCCATATCCAATGGAGCTCCCTTACTAACAGCCTATATCAGTAATGTAAGAGGGTGGGGTTATTTGTTGTTTTTTAAGTTGATAAACTACTGCTCCCATCATCCTCACAAGGATCAGAAAGGAAGGAGCTAATCCCAATTACAGTCCAGCAACATTTGCATTCACTGGCTTAAAATGAGAAATAATGAATTTCTAGTTTTTCTAGTTTTCATTTTGCTGATTTCCTCTGTCCAACTTGAGGTGAAATAATTCAAGTGAAGAAAACATCAACAACTTCCTTTTTTGATACTAAAGACTTTCCCATAACGTGTCACAAATTAGTGGTACTTGATAGCTATCAAAATCAGAAGTCACTTTTTCAAACATGCTCTTCAGTATTATCTGAAAATATAAATTGGAGGCTCATATACAGTAACTTTTTACTCTATGGCAGGAATCAAGGAGTAGATTTTTTTTAAAACCTCCATGCACATACACCTATTCTGAATTATTGTGCTACATTTCGATAGCTTTGTCCAGTTCCTTCCTTCCTTCCTTCCTTCCTTCCTTCCTTCCTTCCTTCCTTCCTTCCTTGCTTGCTTGCTTGCTTGCTTGCTTGCTTGCTTGCTTGCTTGCT